ATCGTTGTGCTTTTTTTTCCCATTATTTTTATGATTGTCAAACAAGATAACAAACTTTTTTATTTTTATACTTAAGTTTAGCCTTGCCATTAAGCCAATGAAGAGTATGAAAATGTCGAAAGTTTTACTCTTTCTGAATTATTTAAGTATTCAATTACAAATAATATATAACAGTCCTGGAATGGTTTCCTGAGGGGTTTACAGTTCATAAAATTAAAATGTTTACTCATACTACAAACATCAAGTGATGTGCACCGTATCAATAAGCTAAAACTAGGCCAGAGAATCACACAAAGTTGTTTTTTGAAATTTACGATATTATGTCAATGCTTTTCAACTGTTTGCAATAGGTATTGTCTCTGTATTTTGTCCTTTGTAATTGTTTCAGCAAAGTCTGTGATGAGCTTGAGTGCTCTCTCAGCCATTTAATTAACAACTCTGCAATTACAAACAAACATGGAAGCTTCTTTATTTGCTGCATCAGTCACCCATTGTGTGGGCGGCAAGTTTATCCAACTGTTTATCCAACATGCAAGAGCCTGAACAAATCCAAAAGTTTATCCAACATGCAAGAGCCTGAACAGATACCATATATGCTAAAAAAAAGGGTAAAAAGTGCTTGATATATGCTAAAAAAATAATGGTAAAAAGTAGTTGAGTATAAAGGTGGTAATACCTGGTGTCATCATGTTTAACAAAAACAAAACAGCTATAAGATAGATGGAAAATTACAAGAAATTGAAAGACTAACTTTACTAACATGGCCAAATTGGAAAAGATGTAATGGAAAGTACAGATTGAAAAAAGCAAATATATGCAATTTTTTATTTCTTGCTTTTTTATGTTAATTCACCTCCCCAATATCGAGAAGGCCACTACAAACGAGGAGGCTACTTAATTGTGGTTATGACCCTCTCTCTCAACTCTGAAACTCTAAAACACAAACCTTGACAAACAAGGATGTTGCATGGAGAAACAAGTTGAGTGCGGTACTTCCAGGGCCATGATAGGGATTGAACTTCAAACCTCTTGCATATGGATCAAGTGCTCTACAACTACACCACTACCACATTTGTTCAAAAAATAAATGAATACACATCTATTACAAATATATAATTTTGGCTGATCGTTTTTCTTTTTTCTTCAATTTTTATTTACTTATCTTCACTTATTATTTTCGGATGATCATTATCGCATGTCGCATTTTAACACCATTACAAGCGTCGCAAGCCTTCTTAACCATCACACAGAACCCAATCTGAGTTGCCACTGGTTGATACACTGGTTCCAAGTGTGCATTAGAGAGGTTACCCTTTGAGTTATGACTTTAAGGTATGACTGCATTGTCATACAGCTCTTTAGACAGGTGGGACTGTGTAAAGAGCATAAACTTTTCTATAATACATTTTTCTATGAGTCAAGAAAAGATGGATACAAGTTTCAAAAAATTGATGTGATAGAAATAAATAAGTGATGAAAATAACTGATAAAAATTCTTTGAGTATAAAGAAATAGTTACAGTGAAAAGATCCAAAATTGCTAAATTACGAGTCATATAAGATGGAGTTATTGTTGATGGAAAAAGAGATAATAGCTCACTTCAGAAGCAGCTACATTGGGAGTATTTATAGAAAAGAGAAATTGATGCAACTTTATGACAAAGTAATAGGTAAAATATCAAGAATGATTCTAAACATCACTATCTGAAATATCAGCTACTCACAAAATATCAATACTAAACATAAGGAACTATAGGAAACATCAAGAGCTATATAAAACATCAAAAGCTACATAAAATATCAAGAGCTATATAAAAATATCTGGAACTGTATCAAGTACCAGGAACAACACAAAATAACAGAAACTATATGAAATATCAGATGTTAAATGATGGATCTGCTGCTGTGTTATAAATGTATTGTTTCTACTGTTAAAAAACTGAGGCTTATTTTATTACACATAATAATTGCATAATTATATGGAAAATATTAATTTAAATAATTCATGAATAATTTATTTCATTATAATTTACATTACCTGTAATGAAAAATTAAAATTGTATAACTAATTATAGAGATATTCACAAAAAACTCATTGTCATTTGTGTAACAGAAATTGAAAGAAACTCATTAAAGTTTTATGTAATTGAATACTCAAAGAGTATATATACATAAAATTTTAAGTAAAAATCTGTATTTTGAAATGAAGATAATCTTAATGAAAAGACTCTTCACTAGATAATTATTAGAAGAATAATCTTTATCATTGAACTATTTTAATAAAGATATTCAATTTGATAACTATAAAGGCAATGATAAACAAGTGAGTGTAATAAATCTTTTAATCTCATCTTTCTTCTGTGACAGCTTGGGGCTTGTTGTGGCTTGTGAATTTTAACTCATACAAAACTCAGTTATATATTACAAACAGTTATTACAATATTGTTATTATTTCTATATGGATGATATGGTAACACTAATACTGAGTCCTCTAATTTACATCTTCTCAAATTATCATTTATTAATGATCTCTCACGGAAACCATAAACACAATCAATTGCAAAGTTAAAATCTAACAGTTCCCTCTCTATGCTTTTCATTTTTAAAGTTCCCTCTCTGTACTTTTCATTTACTTTCTACTGATTACTTCCAGAAACTTCTCCTGATTCTATTCATTACCTTTACATTGTCCCTATATGGAAAATTGTTGTAATTTTTAAGCTGGTTTGTTTAAAAAATCCCTTTCTTCTAGACAAGGTCCAAAAACATATTGTCAATGTAGTTGGACCCACTTAATCTGCTGAGCTTGAGTTTTTTTCCCCATTGTCATATGATTGAATCTATTTCTTCTTTATTGAATCTTTTCTACTGATAATGCCTGGGCTGCTGCTCAAACAACATATCACTATTTATTCATAATATTTATTCAGCAAAGTTGCATAGTTTTACTGTATCTCTCCATTCATTCTCTAAAAAGTTTTATTTTTCTAATTTCTTTAGTTGCACATCAATGTTTTGGAACTCTCCTATATCGCCATGTTTTCCCTACTCATGCAATTGAAGCATTTGTTTTATGATAAAAAATATTATTCATTTTTTTTAATGATTATTGAAATGATTTTAATAGGTATGTTATATTTAGTGCTAGAATAGTATCTTATGCTTTTTATAAGCATAAGAGCTTTAACATCAATTGATTTGATTTATAATGAGAAAAAGAAAAGAGGTCCTGCAGCGCCAATTCCAAACAGACTCATTAGAAATGATGGGTACGAATATTGGCCAGACAAAAAGGGAGATGTAGATATCCTGGTTGTAATGGTTTCCCTAAAATAAAGTGTTCTAAGTGTGATGTCCGTCTCTGTTTTACGCCGACATCTAACTGTTTTAATCCTTCCATGAATCCTAAATTTCAAATTCACTTCTCTAAATAAGATATAAAACCAGAGAAGATAGAAAACTTTTCATGTTAGATAATATTGTGTTAGAATAAAAAAATTAGTACTTTTTTAAAGCATATTACATTTTTTGAATCAAAAGTAATATTGAGTTATATATATGCTTAAATAGTAAAAGTTTGGATCTTTACATATCATCTTTTTGCAGTTCATGCAACTTATACTTGCTATGTTAGGCCAGTATTTTCAATGTAAAGCTCAAAATTGCCACCAGGTAAAACTTTATAAAAATATTTGTTTGTTCATATAAATATCATTTGTTATTAGAATAATATTTAAGATTAAGAAGTTTGATAAACTAGCTAGATAATATTAGTAAGAATAATGAGTATCAAATAATTGGAAAAGGTAAGAGCAATCTCCATAGTTTTTATCAAATCAGATCCCATTTTTGAACAGGCAGGGCAACTAAATTTAAATGAACATTTTTGAAATAATAAAGATCGAAGCGAGTTTAGAAAAATACTTTTCTTAGACTGTGAAAGGAATGTTGTCCACTTGAACTTAATTGTCATTAGATTCAAGAGATGTGTTAAAAGTACTGTGGTGCAAACTTTGTTGCAAACCATCATTTTCACTTTCATTAATAATTCTACTTTCACCTTAATAACTAAATTAGAGACCACAAAAAATATTAAAGTTCAAAATAAATATTTGAAAGCCCCACTGTATCTCTGTTAATACTAAAACCTGTTTTCTGTTAAGCGACATCGTTTGTTGAAATGTGTGTTTTGAAACTATAGATTGATGAATTAAATGATTCATAAACTGAAAAATAATCTCGTTTATAATAACTTCTTTAAGGATCTAGGAAAGTAAATTGGAAAAACATATGCTTTAAAATATAATAAAGAAAACATTGCATTAAGTCCAATATTTGTATTTCAAATTGACAGTCTAGCCTATAATTCTGTAATAGTAATTTTGGTCATACTTTATTCACGTGTTTAATATATATAAGGGGACGATTAATAATTTTTAGAAACATTTTTCCTCGCCTCGATTAATTAATTTTTACTTGTTATCAAATAAAAAGCTATATCTCAAAATTTAAAAAAAAAAATCTGTGTAAACTAGCCTGTTTAACCAAACCAACCTTTGTAAACCAGTTAATGATAAAAATAAAAACTTTTAGTGTAAACTTTATACATTTTTTAAAATTAACCAATAAAAAACTTGTTAATCTCGATTTTTCAAAAAGTTTATTCCTCACCATAGTATATAACTTATATAAACATATTAAATGCTTTACAAAATTATGGTAAAACAACTGTTAAAAAAAAATGCAGATGATTTGACCGCAAGCACACTGGAATTAAATTACTTCATGGGTAACCTGTAAATAAACCACTCTTTTATTATAACCCCCTGTTATTTGATCTGGACTAAAATATCTCCTTTTTATTCCTACCCCCTCTCCCAGCCCTTCTGTATTTAACAAGTGAATGTATAAGTAAATTAAAGAAAATAAATAAATAAATTAAATTTAAAAAATTACACATCAAAGCTTTAAATGTATAAACATTTTTTTTTAAAAACATACCTTTGAATTCCATAATCAATTGTATTCAAAACTTTTGTTTTATCTGTGATGGTCTTAAGTAATAGTGATGAACTCTTGTTAAAGTAATTGAGAGCAGATGATCCAATGTCAAGAAAAAAACTACTTGGAATTTGATTGCGTTTCTTTTGGAATACTTCACATAGCACATCACTTATAACCCAAGGAAAACTTAAATATTTTTTATTATAGCCAATAATTTTAATAGTTTTATCATTAACCAAGTTGTACCATGCACAAGCTTTTTTCATTTTAGAAACAACATCATTAATATCACTAAAGAAAATTTCACGAAATTTTTTTACCAATGCTTGATAACATTCAGCAATAGACTTTGCAGCTTTTCCTCTATTGGCATCATGATGAATACTCCAACTATATGTTGCACAACTTAAAACCACATCAGCTTCAACTTTTAAGTCAAACCATGACATGATCATTTTAATATTATGGACATAACAAGCATAGACTTCTAAAGCATTTTCCAAATATTCTTGATAACCAGCTACATACAGTCGAAATCCAAACACATTTTCTATATTTTCTTTGCTTACCAAATCAAAATTAAAACCAATAGATTTACATTCACGATAAAGAAAACCCAATATTTTTTTCGAGCGGTAAGAGATTTTTTTCCCCATGAAATCTGGATAACCATTAATATCAGTATGCTGATTTAAAAGCTTGAGTGCCTCTTTTGGAACTTCTGGTAGTATTCCGGTTTTAGGATAGTCAACAGCTGCAGCTTGAGATTTAGCTAATTCAACAGCTAATGGATTACGAGCTCCATTTTCAATAAAATCACAAAGTGCAAGATGTTTATGAGCGATTCTGCCTAAACTGTCATTCTTCATAAACTTCATAAAAAAGTCTACAATAACATTCTCATCTGTAACATCAACATTTTTAATCAATGGATCAACTAAAGTTAGTTGAGAGTAGTCAAAACGAGGATATATTAAATGTCTTGGTGGAATAAGTTTCGTATCCCATATAATTGCAAATTGATCACCATCAAGATCACCACCACTGCAAGATGCAGCAAAAGAACATTCACAGTTCATTACAGGAAATACAACAACATTCACTAGATAACGTAAAGAAGGTTTATCAACACAGCATACAACTCTCTGGTCACCTGGATGTAAACAAGGATTTCTGTACACCAAAGCATCACCTATTATAATCTCTTTCTTGTTGTCATGATCTATTTGTAAAAATATTTCTCCTTCTTTCAAAATGCCTATTGGATCAGCTACTCCAACCACCAAACACCCATTTTCAACAGGTATACTTGATCTTTTCACTAAATCAGACACTTTGAGACGATAAACTCCTTGAAGAATAGAAAACCAAAACCTTTCGTGGTGAATGTTAACTATAGATAACTTATCTATTTTTTCTTTTGAAAAAAATTCATACAGAGAATTTCTAGCAAAGCTTTCATTATTGAAAATATTAACCATCTTTTGTAATTCATTTTGCTGCATTTTAATTAAAACTTCAGAAAACAAACTAGAATCAACAGCATTTAAAAGAGTAATGACTTCTCTATTTAAACTCAAAGAATTATATTTTGAATAAGAAGTAATGCAAAACGTTGTGTCATTATTTTCAAACTTTTTCATGGATGGGCGAAAAGCAAGTGGTTTATTTTTTAAATCTGGATCATCGTCATAGGTGCATACCAGCATTCCTTTTATACCAGAAAATCTAATCTGTAGAGCTGAAGGTTGATTAATTTTAAGAATATTTGCAATGCGAGCACTCATTGTCAGAGAAATTTTACCACATCCATCAGTGGTTAGTTCACCATTCTTTGCTTTTAGATCACTTACCCAAGAAATCATATCAGTACTTATCCTAAAACGAGTTTCTTTATCAGCTGTAGCATAAAGACCAAGACGAGACATATACTTTGCAGCACTTTTAAAGTCTTCAGGTGATGGAATAATTTTACTTCTCAGATTTTTGACTACATTACTAGAGGGTACTTCAATAAAATAGGCTTTATGATCTCTAAGTTGACTTGCTGATGTTGCAAAAAAATAATATCTAGACTTGTTAATTATAATTCCATTTTTCATAAGAAAAGAAATGTAATAATGAGTATCAGAGTCGCGTAGTTTTGACATATCTTCGTCTCTAAAAGAAACTATTAGAATATTGTAATAACTAAGTAAACGTATCATTCGGTTTGATGCAACTGGAACTGGAGGCAACATCACAATTCGAGTAGGTGTTGCAACAACACGTTTGATCAATACACAATTTGAAGGAACTACATCTTGAAGAATATCTCTTTTTGAAATAGGAATTTTTAACATATGATTAAACTCGTTTTCATAAATTGTTAAAAAATGATCAAAGTAAGAATATTTATTTAAACGACTGAAAACTGCTTTTAATGCTGCTTCACATAACTGAAGAACTTCGCTTCTTTGAAGCTCTGAACTTATTTGATTGTCCACATGATTTTTTATATCATTAAGAGGCTCAGTTGGTAAACAAAGCATTCTTGAGTCTTTTATACAACCTAGGTACCATTCTATAGACTCTGGTAGTTGCTTGCATAAATCTTGATAACAATAATTTTCAAGCTGAACACAATTTAGTTTTACATAGAAATGTGGAATGGGAAACAATATAGGTGAAAATAGTACCTGTTGAACATCCTGAATTTTATTAATTGGAAAGGTTATTTGAAGTAATGAGTATTTTGAAAATATTTCCGATAAATTTGATTCTAATGATCTTATATGTTCATCATTTTCTTTTTTGTAAATATAAGGTGCATGTGATAACACCATGCTCAATGAGAAGTAATGCTTGTCAATAGATATCAAAGCAAAATTTCCAAGAAATGTCAATGGCACTTTAAAAACAAAATCAGCTAAAAACTCTGAATAACTTATTGAAATTTCTTTTTCAGAAAATAAACAGTATTCTATAGGAGTCTCTTTTATTACAGCACATGATGTTTTGTCAACAAAATATCCAATACCAAGTTTTGTAGATTTAACTTCAAGATTTTTCACTTTATCATTAGGCGTCTTAATACTGAACTGGGTCCATGATGGGCATTTACAAATATTATCAACTTTTATATTGAAGTTAAATGTTCTACAAAATTGCAAGTAAGCATCTAGAGAAGTGGATGAATGTGATTGTGTATGTGCACCAACTAGAAAAACTATACAACTTTTCGTAAACACTCGAAGAGTGGATGATTGCAGTTCTGCTGTGTTGTTAATAATCTCTAAGTGTTTTATTTGAAACTCATTGCATTCTTGAAGTACTTCAAAAAGCTTTTCTTTTGTTGTAGATATATCAATGTTCTTTGTTTCCACATAGATCAAGAACGAAAAATTCCCTTGGTCTTTATTATCAAAATTATCTTTTGTATTAGAAGAATTATTGATGAACTGATGATGTATTTTTTTAATAATATCTTTAGATAAGTTGGAAAAAAGACAATGTGAATTAGAATGAACTCGAAGAACATATTTCAAAATTTCTTCCTGTTTTCTAATTTTAGAAGTTAATTTACTTTCATGCATACTTTGAAATGAATAAAATTTACTTCCAGGTTTTCTAGCTCGACCTCTTACTTGAATAAATTGGATAAGACTTTTGACTGAAGTAAAAGAAATAACTACATCACATTCAGCAACATCAAGTCCTTCTTCTAAAACTGAAGTAGCCACAATTAAGTTACATTCACCTGTTGCAAAATCCCTAATTGCAAGCTCTTGTTCACCTTCCCATAACATACCGTCATATCCACCATGACCAAATACCATTCTAGGATTAAACATGCCAAAATTGTCACAAAGAAACTTGTATAATGCTCTTGCAACATTTTTAGTGTGAACAAAAATAAGTACTTTAGAGGTCTTCTCCAGACCTCTTAAAATTTTTGATAATTTTTTTAGGCGAGAAGAATCTTCATTAACATTTTCATATGCTTTACTGATTTCTTTTACATTATCTTTTATAACATTATATGCAGTACGAATCCCCATAATGGCACACATTTCTAATGATTCTATATAAATATAAGCAACTTTTATTGCTGAGATAACTTCAGAATGTTCTTGATAATTACCTTCTAATGTACGCAAATCTCCAATCATCTGGTAAGAATTCAATAAATTTTTTTTTAATTCTATACCTGAAATTTTCAAAGGAGAATATATATTACTCTTAAGATGTTCATTAAACATTTCAACAACCTGACTTAAAAACCTTAACTGATTTTCTGAGTATTCAAATTCCTGTGTTATAATATTTTGCTTAGAATTTGATTGATCAGGAAAAAATATCTTTGCAGATGGAAAATTTAAAAGAAACTTTTGAAGCTGGTCTATTCCTTGAGTAAAAGTTTTTGCATTAATTGGAGATGCGGTTAGACCTAAAATTCTAGGTTGAGTTGCTAATGGCATAGAAGTAAAAAATTGAATAACATCTAAATACTTATGACCACCAGTTGCATGATGACACTCATCAATTACTACCACACAAAATATGTTTACATCAATGTATTTTTGCATAACCATTTCATAAAATGCTCCAGCAGTAACAACTAAAACATTATAATGCCCATCATTTATTTGCTTGATAGTATGTTTGGTCTTATTTTCACCACACAAGCTTACTACTTTTAGGTTAGTATCACTTGAAATAGAGGCAGCATGCTGGAAAACAAGTGGAATTCTATCAACAATCATCAGACCCATTTTTTGAGGATTTATTTCACACATGCGACCTATTAACATTGAAGCTATCAGTGTTTTTCCACCACCAGTTTCAAGTACAACAATTAAGTTACTTTGGAGTGCCTCCACAAATGCTTGTATCTGATATTGTCGAGGTTCCCTTTTAAGTGACACTGAATACCATTCAAACAAATTCAAATTATCGATGGATGGAAATATTGTCTTCGTGGCTGCTTTTTGATTGATATTTTCTTCCAAAAAATTTTCCTTAAGCTCTCCAAATAAATTGTTTCTGTCTCGTTGCTCTACTTGCAACTCAAACTTTTTATATGTATTCCACCATTTTTCTTTCTTTGTTAATCTGAGCTTACAAAGTGTGACTTTATCAGAAGAAAATGCGGGAAATTTAGTACCATTAGGACCAAAAGGAAGTATAGAGCCAACATTGAAGCTACAATTATTGCAGTTTATGCAAATTTTTTTGTTATCTTTTAGTTCACACAGTTTTTTTTCTAATTTAATTAATGGGTATATTTCAGGTTTAATTGACAAATGTACATCTTTATCTCCTTTTATAAAAAAAAATAAGCTACTCGAAGCAACCAAAGTTTCAGAACAGTTCTGACATTCCATTTTTTCTAAAACAAAAAAATATAATTACTGTGATGTTAAATATTTATTTTCATTAGATAATAAATTTATTTGTTATTAATTATTTAATGTAAGATCATATAAAAAATCCAACTAAAATATTATACTACTGTTATATTTTTTGCTCAGGCAAATATAGACAATGGTGTTTCTGATAGAATGAAACCATTTAGAGAAACCATGTCTAAACCATGTCTATACCATGTCTAAACCATGTCTAAACCACCTGAACAACTTTAACTATCTCTGATGTATTTTTATTGTAACTTTTATTGTAAAATGTACCAAAGTTCTTAAAAATAGTCAAACATTTTAAAACAAACTGTTATTCTAACATATCCTTGTAAATAAATAGTAAAATATAAAATTTACATAACAATTTATTAAAATACAAGTTAAAAATATAGGTTTAAAAAATATAGAATAAAGCATAAACAATATATATAAACAAAGGTTCTAAAATAAATTATTTACTGCAAACAACTATTGCATTACTGTCGACATTCCTATATGAATGAATGGCAACCCTCTTACTGAGTCCTCTTCTTAATCCCTTTTTTTATTATCATTTACGACTGACCTTTCATGGAAACCATATATACTATCAATTGCTAAATTAGCATCTGCTAAGGTTGCTTCTCTTTATCATGCTAGCCATTTTCTCTCTCCTGATTCCATTCTCTACCTCTACAAATCTCTTATTCGTCCCTGTATGGAATACTGTTGTCATATTTGGGATGGTTCTTCTATTGATGCTCTTTCTCTTCTAGACAAGGTCCAAAAACATATTGTGAAGGCAGTTGGACCCAGTCTATCAACTGAATTCATTACCAATTAATCACAAGAAAAGTATTATTATCGAACAGATGTTAAGTATGAAATCTCTAATATTTATTGGTGAAAAAAAGTATTCTTCTGATATGGTTGGATTGGAGTATTTTTGATTGTCAAGAACTCTTTACTCTCGATTACGTGATGACTATGAACTACCAAGAATATCTCTGGTGACATCATTTTATAAAAAACTTCAAGAAAAAATACTTGTTAAATTTAAGACTCAACATGACATACTTTTTAAAAACTTTTTTTTATAATATTAGGAACCAATTTAATGTTTGAGGGTCCATTGCAACCCCTAAAAAATATTTTTTATTCAAAAATTTTTTAAATCTAGTATTATTTTATTATATAAAACACATTTCCAGACATTTTCCAAAAAAATTGTTTTTAAAACCACCCTTATATATATGTATATAACTTAAATGTGTTAATGTAACTTTTAATATAAAAACTAAGAAAATGTTTATTATTATTATAAAATAAAATTTCATTTTTTAATGTTTAATTTAATTGCATCTTGTCAGCATGTTGCATCTACATTCAAGACTTTTTACTAGTCTTTTTTCTATGACAGTTTAACCATCTGAGACACATTGTTGGAGTTCTTTTAGTAAAAATACAGTGCAATTTGTGTGTGCTTTATTTTTACAATGTTTTGGGGAAGAGCATCCAGACAGATGATTCTTAGATAAAATATTATAAGAGAACATGTGATGAAGTCCATTAGTTTATTTAACTTTAGTGTATGTTTTTTTTTTTTTTGCTTTCTTACACAATCTTTTCTACTTTCTCTCAAAGAGTTTTGATTCTATAATAATTTGATTTCCTTCCAATACAAACTGATTGTTAAAACATTTGGTTTTGCTTACATTCGAAACAGTTTACATTTGACTTTCTTCATAAAGTAATAAGTACTGAAATTAGATAACTGGCAAAATCTCTATTAAAATGCTTAAATTTTGATTGTATGTTATGTTTTTTTGTTCTTTTAACAAAATAATAACACTATGCGCTCTTGCATTCTTGTTGTTATGTATATTTTTTATGGTGGAAAGCATTATCAATTTTTTTTTTTTAAATTTGATTGACACTTCGCTCTTAATGAGGTTCTTATATGAAAAATTTTTTGGTACTTATTTTTTTTAATTTTATTTTAATATCTAAAAAAAAAAAAAAGTGAAAACCAAGAACTTTTCTAATCAAAAAAAGGTCAAACCTACCTGGAAAGTTAACTTAACATAAATTTTTTTTATGTAATTTGAAATTTAATAGTTTTTAATTTGTAATTATTTTTATTATGTTTTAGCAGTTATTGTTAACTATTGCGGGTTGTTAATAAATATAAATTTTTTATAGTTTAAGGAGATGAAAGTTTTGTGGTTTTTTAAAAAGTTTTAATTAGTTTGCTCATATAAAATTAATGATTTTTACATAAAGTGTATTTGAGTTTTTTCATTTTAAAGACAAAAAGTCAAGAGTATATGAATATATACTCTTTATACAAGGTTACAGCAACATTTTTTATAACCACAATATATAAAAAATATATATAACATTTTTTTTTTTAAATTTGTTTAAGCAAAGTTAAAATTAAGAAAATACTGTTACAAGTTTCTTTACTTTTTTAACTTTTTGGCGTAAATAGTAACACCAGAGACCACGGTCTTTGGTTATGCATCTTACAATACAATAAAGCGATTAACTGATTTTAATGAAAATCAACAATTTCATACAATTTTAAAATTTTTAAAAATAACTTATAAATAATAAAAAATTTAAAAAATCAAACTGATTTTTAAATAATAAAACACCAAGCTCTTACAATAATTTAAGGAAGCCTTTTTTTTTCTTCGTCACTTTGTCTTATTTTTAATATAATATTATTAATATTATTTTAATTTGTTACTTCGTCTAAAATTGTGTTCGTCGCTTTAACAATTTTTGTTGTTTCAGCAAATACGATTAAAATTCTGCGAAAAAATAATTCTTGGAAATAAACATTTTCGGAGAAATGAATAGTTCAGTAACAAATTTATTTGTTTAAATTAATACTTTATTTTTATTATTCACAAATAAAATTGCATATAAAATTATATCCATTATTAGTTAAATTAAATTAAGGAATTAAAATTTTGGAAGCCGTACTGTCAAAACAGCACGGCACGGCTTCTCAAGTTTATAATATTTAATACTAAGGCATAGAGTCTATGTCTTAGTCTATCTATTAAAAGTTTTCCATTCATGACCAAAAACAATTTATTTGTTATTAGTGAAAAATATATATATTTATTATACTTAAAAAATTTTTAATTTTTAAAAGTTTTCCATTTATGACCAAAAACAATTTCTTTGTTATTAGTGAAAAATATATCGTCTATGATAGACGATATATTTTTCACTAATAACAAATAAATTGTTTTTGGTCATGAATGGAAAACTTTTAAAAATTAAAAATTTTTTAAGTATAATAAATATATACTTTTTTAAAAACTCATTTTTCCATAACCATAAACTTTTTTCCTAGGAAAATGAATATATATAGTTTTATAGTTGGTAAACTTTCTTATTAAACCAATGATATATAATTTATAATTGTAATATATATTAATGTTATTGTATTATTGTACCGAAGTGCCATTCAGACAGAGTCCTTTAGGTCCGTAAACATGAAAAGTTACCCTTATATTTTCAAAATTACCTGCCCTTCAGTCAATGTTTGTACACAAGATGCGCCTATTCCTAATTAAGTCAGCGGATTCCTATGTATGTCAGCGGATTCAGTACGCTTGATTTCATATATCACAATTTAGCTAACCTTTACCAATGATATATTATATAACTAGATGTCTAACTTTGATCCAAAAAAAGCCGCTTTTTGCGCTTTTTACAAATGGCCGATTAAATTTGTAAACAAATATTTTTAACTTTTCTTTTTTTAAATGAAGTAAATATATTATAAATTTAAATACTATTTACGTAAAAGTGTTGAGCGGAAATGTTAATACTTGTAAAATAATAATTTATTTTCGATTAAAAAGGGATTAAAGTTTTAAATAGAAAAGTAAAACAACAGACGCTTTTGAGACATTTTTATGAATTAAAATACTTTTTAATAAACATAGGCTCATAAAAATTTTAAAATACTTATAACTTTTATAAGTATTTTAAAATTTTATAATTTGTTTTTGAATTATGTTTAATTTATTGGGAACTTTCGACTTGCATTTTTAACTTTTATTCCATAGTTCGGCTTCAGCTTTTTCCCTTTTTACACATGGCGGACTATTATTATAAACAAAAAAGAGCGGCTTCGCTTTTTGTCCAATAAAATCCTGCAAGTTAGACATCTAGTTATATAATGCATCATTGATCTTTACAAATCTCAGTTTGCGGACGCAAAGGATGCTCAACAACAGAAAAAAAAATTCTACTCTTTCAGTCACTCATTAAAACAAATAATGAGTTCTAATTTAATGCTCATTGAAAGACTAAATGTCTTTCAGTTAGAAAATGTAGACAAAGCCAAAAGTTCACCATTTACCTTTGTGTGTCATCCTGCGACTGATAACATGTAATTCAATGCAACGTTGCATTGGTACCTGTTTCATGCCAGGCGGGTTTGTAGGATTTGCTTATTAAGGAAAGGTTAGAAGAAGTGTACTTCCTGTCATCAGTAATATCTAATAACTATCATGTCTATAGTGATATTTATTTTTGCCTGATGTATAATTTGATTTGTCTTTGTTACTGTGTTAGCTCACCAGTAATTTATTATATATGCATGTTTGTGTTCTGGCTGAATATTTGGCTTGGTGTTCACTCACATGTAAGTTGCTATTTGTATGTTTGTATTTTGTTTAAACCTTTGGCGCAATGTTCATTTACCCATGAGTTTCTATGCGTATAATTGTGTTCTGTCTAAACCTCTAGGTCTGTGTTTGCTCACCTGTAAGTTGCTATATGTATATTTGCTTCATTTGGTGTATCTGGAATAGTTTTTGAGATTATCAAATTGTTTCTTTCTAACCGTTTCATTAAAGTAATCTTCGAAGGCCAACACAAGTAACTTCTTTGGTACTTCAAGGTTCTACCCTTGGTCCTGTTTTGTTTCTTATTTACATTAATGATTTTTTGGGAAATCTTATATCTAAAGTGTCTCTATTTGCTGAACACTCAAATTTACACTCCTGCCTTGACAAAAAGTCGTTTCTTTTTAATTTCTTATAACAAATAGTGATTCATTTATGTAATAGCTTTGGACTTGCAATGGTTTTTGAGTTTTAACTTTAACAAAACTTGATTATTTACAGCAAATAACTATTGCAATACTGTCGACACTCCTATATTAATGAATAATAACTCTCTACCCAGTGGGCACCCGACGTCAATCCGACGTCGGATTTACGTTTGATTTTCATCAGCGATGTCAAAAGACCTATTCCGACGTTGTTCCGATGTCAGTAAAATGACGTCGGGCGATGTCTTTATCTCAACATCCCCTGACGTCGTTTCGATGTATTTTGACGTTGTTCCGACATCTTATAAAAGACGTCCAAAAAACGTCGCAGTACTGACATCGATCCAACGTCGATAAAAAGACGTCGGGCAACGTCATAATATTAACGTACTCCGATGTCTTTTGACGTCTTCCGACGTCAATCCAACGTCCTTAAAACGACGTCGGAACAACGTCGTAAGACATCGCTGATGAAAATTTAATCCAAACCCAACAATATGTGTGCAATTGCGCTCTTCAATAATTATGTGAACTAAGCGTGTTTTTTTATTAATGGAAAAAAGTTTGAATAAAGGTTGATAAAACATCATGAGGTTTTGTATGATGCACTAGCATAGTTTTTTAACTATTAACATTTTCGAGTATACATTTTTTATAATATATAACTATTCGTTTTAATATTTATATAATATTTAAACAAAATTATTTCTTATCAAAGTAATAATTCCCAAATAGCTACAAGTATAAATTACTAAATTTACTCACAGTAATATGTCTTTGTGGTGTAGTGGTAAGCGCACAAGATTTAGTAACTATTAGACCGAGGTTCGATTCCTGCCTAAGGCAGCGTTTTTTAGTTTTCAAAAAACACGTTGGATTTACATCGGAATGCCGACGTCGCGCGATGTCAGTTTATCCGACGTCAAATAACATTTCCATTTCCAACGTAAACCCAACGTCGATCCGACGTCGAGATCCGACGTCGCTCGACGTTCGTTCGACGTCAAAATGCCCACTGGGTAACTGAATCTTCTTTATTACGTCTTCTTGGACTATCATTCACTACTGATCACTCATGGAAGTCATATATATAATTAATTGCAAAGTTGTATACAATCAATATATACAACAATTATACAATATATATAACATATATATTATATATACAATATATATCTATATAAAATTAATTGCAAAGCATCTGCTAAGGTTGCTTTCCTTTATTTTGCTTGTTATTTCTTACTTCTGATTGTATTCTCTACCTCTATGAATCTCCATTTGTACCTGTATGGAATACTAATGTCATATTTGGGCTGGTTCTTCAAAAAAAATTTCTCTTTTTGTCTCTATTTTGTCTTTCAGACAAGGTCTAAAAACACATTTTGAACGTAGTTGGGTCTGCTTTAATTTCCAGGCTTGAGCCTCTTTCTGATTGTTGTAAGGTTATATCTCTTTCTCTTTTTTATAGAAAAAAAAACAGATGTAAACTTACGACGATGAGAGAGAGGCTCAATACAAGGACAGACACTGTAATAGGATACAACTTTGCTTAATGACAATTCAAGCGAGAATAAATTTTGAATGATGGAACTAGTACTACTAAAGTTGAGTACTGACCATGATAGCATTTGTATATAAATACTATTATAGTCGCTGAAAAAAAAGTCATTTTTATTTAAAGTATATTTATAAAACGATAGTTTGCAAAGTATTTTTATCAAAATAATAATCCAAAGCCAAGAACAATTTGCATAAAAAAGCATATAACAAAATTGCAACTTAATGTATAAAATGTTTAAAAAAAAAAAAACCCTTAAGAATAGCATGAGTTTTTTAATAGTGGAACTTGACTACAAGCTTGTAGGACATAATAATAGTGGAACTTGACTACAAGCTTGTAGGACATAATAAAAAAATTACAGATTAACTTTACTACTTCAGATGAAATGAAAATTAAGAACTAAGACAGATTTACATTATTGTTATTTAATATTATCCTTAAATTTTATTTATAAGTTTCCCTTCCTGGTCTTCACAGCTACAAATCTGTCAATCACACTATCAAAATCAATATCTTCCACCATATTACTCTCAATTGACAATAGAGCCAGATCAGAAAGGTTTGACTGTTCCATAGTTGATCGCAAAGAGTTCTTAATGAGTTTCAGTTTTGAAAAGCTCCTCTCACATGAAGTCAAAGACACACAGGTTGTAAGAAATAGTAAGCTCAATGAGAATATTTGGAGAGACTCAAGAAAATCCCACTCAGCTATAAATTTCAAAACATTAAATATTGACCAGTCTTTGGGTTTATTAAAATCAATATCTGCTGCCTGCAGGTGCCTTCTCAGCCTTGGTATTTATTTCAAAAGCTCAATTTCGCATAGCTCATCATAGAAAGTGGTCAATTTCAGAACTATATATTTAGGCAATAGGGGTTCTGCGGCTTCTGCCTGGCGTATGGTGGCACTATGTGCCGTCTCGTGTATATAAAAATGAACGGTTATGAAACCCGACAATTCTAGACCGGGCTGAGCTAGGCGAACTCTACTGTCTGAGACAAAGTTAGGGGTGACACCAAAATGAAAAATTTCCAATTATGACTACTGACTAACAACAACTTGTTTTCTCTCACAAAAATTGATTTTTTTTTTCATTTTGGTGTCACCCCTCTGTATCAAACTGTGATAGTGTAACCTGGTGCGGCCCGCACCCCCTAGCGACGCCACTGGCTCTATATATCATTCCTATAGTTTTTCAAAATTTTTTTCTACAGTGTATATATGAAAATTTAATTGTAAATTTTCATCCAGTTCTGCGCCTTAAAAATTTACGGAAGATTTCCTTTCAATAATAGTTTTGTTTATAATAAGATTACGTAATTTTAATGGAATGTTATGAATTTTATTTTATTTATGGAATAATATAAATTTAGTTTTGTCAAAATTCATTTTGCCAGCAAAGTTTGTTACTTAAAAACCACTCATTAACTTTTTCTAATTGTTCATTAACATGTTTAAAAAGTATATTTATCTTTGTTTAAATAAAAAAGATTGGAATCATAAATATAATCAAATAGAATTTATCAGAGTTTATGATAAATATAGAGCATTTATTTACAGTGGAAACAATAATGACCCTAAAATAGAAGCTTGAGGAACCCCACAAATTATTGGGTTTTACCAGTTACTTTTGAATCGTAGCATATGAATTGTTTTCTGTTTATTAGGTAGTCTTTAAACCAAAATAAAATTTTGTTTCTAATGCCATAGTTTTCAAGTTTAGCTAGCAGTATATCGTGGTTTACTGTATCAATAGCTTTGTGTATATCAATGAAAATTCCTAATAAAATAATTATTGTTTAGAGCGTCAGATACCTCGTTGACTAGTTTGATTGAGGCCTGCTCAGTTAAATGCAATTTTTTGAAACCGAACTATTTTTATACAACTTGTCAGTCTTTGTTAGTCATAAAGTCTACTGTACATTATACGCTCAAGTATTTTAGAAAAACAAGGCAAGATATAAATTGGTCTATAGTTTAAAATAAGGAAGTTATCTCCTCCTTTAAAAATAGATGTAGTTCGAGCAATTTTTAAATTATTGTAAACAATACCGGATTTTAAAGAAAGTTTAAAGATACGAAAAAACGATGGTTAAATGACATCAAATACAG